GTGGGCACTGACCCCTTGTGTCCAGCCATGTCCTGGATGCCTCCCGAGAAGCCAGAGCTCTGGGTTCGAATGCTGGCTCTGGCCTCATATCCCATGGTCACCCCCATGCTGGGTGCCTCCGTTTCCTCACGTGTCTCACCAGGGAATTAGACCAAGTTACCTTCTTGTAGGTGTTTTCAGGGCCCTCCAGGGTTTGGCTGGTCACCATGGAGGGGGGTTCAGGTGCTAAATTTAGGGACCCCACATCTCACGGGTCTCCCATCTTTCCCAGTGGCAGTGTGTCTGAGCAGGTGTGCCCAGGTGAGGTTGTGTCCATGTGTGGGCAGGTGTGGCTGTTGCAGGTGAAAGTGGGGATATGTGGCTACCTGGGTGCCATGGCGGGGGGTGAGGTGGGAGGGTGTTCATTGTCATCCTCCCTTTCCTCCCTCTCTCTCCATTGGCCACGTGGCATTTCTATGGGCAGAGGGTGGAGGGCAGGTTTTCGTGGCTCTGTGGTATCCTAGCCAGATGCCTGGACCCATCAGCTCCCCCCTTCTTTCTGCCGTATCCCCAGAGCCCCCCAGGTTTATCAAAGAACCCAAGGACCAGATTGGTGTGTCCGGGGGTGTGGCCTCTTTCGTGTGTCAAGCCACGGGCGACCCCAAGCCACGAGTGACCTGGAACAAGAAAGGCAAGAAGGTCAACTCTCAGCGCTTTGAGGTGAGTCGGGGTGGGGAGAGGCAGCCCGGGGTCAACGCTCCCCCAAGGCAGGGCCATAGCACCTCAGCCACAGAAGACATCGTGGACACATTCCCCAGGTGGAGCCCAGGCGTCGGTGGCCGGGCAAGTGTGGCTGTGCAGACTCCAGCTGGGGCCCTGCCCGCCTCACTTGTTCTACCAGCTCCATGCTGTGTGGCCTCAAGCAAAGCCCTGCCCTCTCTGAGTCTTCTTCACAGCTCAGTGTACACAGCACCAGTGCACACAAAAGGAACTTTACAACTCTGAATACGTGCACATGATCACACATGCACATTGCCACATTCCGCATGTCTTCACACGCCTGTGCATGCCTGTCACATGGGCTTGCAAACATTCATCGCAGTCACACATGCACACAACACCCTGTTCTCACATGTACCCAAATCTGGTCTCTGTCTCCCAAGCATTTATACTGGACACCGACACACATGCACATTCAGCCTCCAGCTCTTCTCCCGGTCACCCCCAGGATCATGGGGCTGACTGCCATCCCCCTACAGCCCAGCCTAGACAGGAACCTTCCTGGGGACACTATCCTCACCCTGTCCTTTTTTCCCCTGCCCACGGCAGACGATTGAGTTTGATGAGAGTGCGGGGGCAGTGCTGAGGATCCAGCCTCTGAGGACACCGCGGGATGAAAACGTGTACGAGTGTGTGGCCCAGAACTCGGTTGGGGAGATTACAGTCCATGCCAAGCTCACTGTCCTCCGAGGTATTGGGCTCCCCAGGGTGGGTGGAGGATGAACCGGGCCCTGGGCTTTGGGGACAAGCACCAAAGGAATACATGAAAGTGAGCCCAAACCTTCCTACTTTGGTTTTTCTGGGAGGACCTTGATCTCCCTTCTTGAACCAGTAACACTCTCAGGGCCCAGAGCCTACTGGTGGGGATTTATTGTGCCTTTGCAAGAAAGGAAGGAATTGAGAGACTAGAATCATCCTAATTTATAATCTTCATCATGTGCTTCTGATGACAAGAGGCTGATCCAACTCAGATGGGTTCAAGTGAGAAAGATAATTGATGTGCAGAATTAAAATTCCGTGGAGTGGCTGGCTTCAGGTTCAGCTGGATCCAGGGGCTCATTGAATTTTCTCAGAGTTCACTCTCTGTCTCTTGGCTTTGTTTCCTTCTGTATTGATGTTATCCTTAGTGCGACTTCCCCCACCCCCAGTGAACTTGGATCCCATGCCCCTCCCTGAACTAATCACTGTGGCTCAGGAAGAACAAACACTCTGATTGGCTGGACTCCTCCCTGGAGCCAAGAGTGAGTGTCATTTCGCCAAAGGAATAAGGATAAACAGGATTGGGCATGGCGGCTCACACCTGCAATCCCAGCACTTTGGGAGGCTGAGGTGGGAGGATCACGTGTGAGACCAGACTGGGCAACATAGTGAGACCCCATCTCTACAAAAAATAAAGGATGAACAGATGCTAGGTAGGCGGAGATAGCTGCCCCACTTCCCCAGACATTCACACAGGCCTGCGGGGCTGCTTGCTGGCCTTGTTCAGGTGCAATTCTTTTTTTTTGTTTGAGACAGAGTCTTGCTTTGTTGCCCTGGCTGGAGTGCAGTGGCACTATCTCAGCTCACTGCAACCTCCGCCCCCCAGGTTCAAGTAATTCTCCTGCCTCAGCCTCC